ACAAAAATTAGCTGGATACGGTGGTATGCCCCTGTAATCCCACCTACTCAGGAGGCTGAGGCAGGAGAATCCCTTGAACCTGGGGGTGGAGGTTGCAGTGAGCAGAGACAGCACCACTGCACTCCATCCTGGGTGACAGAGTGAGACTCCATCTCAAAAAATAAATAAATAAAAAGAACTATCAACTAAATCATGATTAATCTAATAGTACATAGTATACAATCGCAAACACTGTCTTACAAAAAAAAAGAAAAGAAAAGAAAACAATGAAAAAAACCCATTCAGTAGTTGCTCAATATAGTAAGTCTGAGGTCAACTGAGGAAACAGCCATCAAACCAAAATGTTCTATCATTCCAACTTTCTGAACTTATATTTTTTGTCTTTTGTCTTGTTTTTGTTTTTTGAACTTATTTTTTAATTATTATTTATTTTATTTTGTTTTTGAGACGGAGTTTTGCTCTTGTTGCCTGGGCTGGAGTGCAAAGGCTCAGTGCAACTCCTTTCTCCTGGCTTCAAGCGGTTCTCCTGCCTCAGCCTGAGTAGCTGGGATTACAGGTGCCCACCACCGTGCCTGGCTAATTTTTGTAATTTTTAGTAAAGACAGGGTTTTGCCATGTTGGCCAGGCTGGTCTCCAACTCCTGACAGCAGGCGATCTGCCTGCCTCAGCCTGCAAAAGTGATGGAATTACAGGTGTGAGCCACTCTGCCTAGCCCTTGAATTTATCTTTTATAAATGTAGAGACAAGGTCTCACTATCCAAGCTTTAACTCCCAAGCTCCAGTGATCTTCCTGCCTTGGCATCCCAGAGTGCTGGGATTACAGAAGTGAGCCACCATGCCTGGCTTAAAACTACTTAATCTACATGTAAATGTCATCTATGAGATTTATTTTGAAAAGACTGGTTTGGATACATTCACATACACATATGCATTTATCTAACTGCATCCCCAACACAGAAACTAACATTTTATGAAACTGAGGATATCATGAAAAAACCACCACATATAAACAGTGTTAAATGCTTGCCCTCAAATTACTTATACTGAAAGTAATAACCTGGAAATACATAACCTGAAAAGCAAAAAGCAATGGGATCCCAATTCTATCACTGTCTAAATTTTCTATAAAATTTAAGATCTCAAGAATAAGCATAAATACATAAATAAATAAACAAATAAATTTGGCCAGGCACAGCGGCTCGTCTACAATGCCAGTACTTTGGGAGGCCTAAGCATGAGCATTGCTTGAGTCCAGGAGTTCCAGACCAGTCGGAGCAACATAGGGAGACCTTTCTCTACAATTAAAAAAAAAAAAAATTAGCTGGGCGCAGCACCTCAAGCCTACAATAACAGCTACTTGGGAGGCTGAGGCATGAGTCTAGATTGATTTAGGAGTTTGAGGTTACAGGGAGCCACACCTGCACCACTACACTCCAACCGGGGCAACACAGCCAGACCCCTGTCTCCTAAACAAAAAAGTTAACGTGACTGCCTTCTAATCTGTACCCCAGAAAAGTAAGAAACCCCAGTGCCTCCAAAACAAAACCTGGGGAGAATTACCAAAAAGAGAATTTGGGTCAGCCACAGTGACCTTTTCCTATAGTCCAGAGAGGTGGAGGAGGATATAGCTTGAGTCCAGTAGTTCGAGTCCAGCCTGGACAATATAGGGATACCCTGGTCTCTTTAAAGGAAACAAAAAAACAGAACTTTGAGCCAGCTGGCATCCAAAAATGGAGAGAGGCTGCCTTAATCAGTATTCTCAATCAAGCTTTCCGGCTCTGGGCCACACACATACAAAAATGGAGGAGACAGGACTAGTCATAGGTCTTCACGCGGAAGCAGTAAGATTTTTATAAGCTCACTGTCCCAGTCATTGAAGGCAGTACCCACAACCTGCTTTCTTCAATGATTCTTTCTAAGAACAGCTATCTAACACAGGGCAGTGACAAACAAAGGAGATTATCTTGGAATCCTTGACATCTTAAAAACTAAATTTTTTGGAAAACAAGCGTTCATTAGGAAAAGGAACAGGATAGGGGAAACATAACGATACAGAGTAACCATAAGTAGGAAAAACATTTCAGCAGTGACACACTAATTAGATAGAACTGTAAAATCAAGGTAAGGCAAGGTCTGTGAATAAACCCACATCAGCTAGTACCCTGCCTTAGACAACAATATAAGGGCCTCTCAACCAAGGTTCCTTCCTCTGCATCACAGGAAGGGCTGACACTCCCCGCTTCCAAAAAGCCCCGGTACAGAGCCAGTTCACTGAGTAGGACACAGACCTTGAAACTTTGAGAGGCCTTTCCAAAGGCATCCGCCATGTTGGGATCATGGGCCTGAATGAAAGACTACAAAATGGCGGACCAGGCTAAATATTCAGGTTGCAAATAGCCAAATGAAGTTAAACCAAGAAATACATGCATTTGAAGTACTATCTTCGTGCAAGCAGGAAAAAAAAGGGGTAAATTATTAATATCATGTAAAATCCCAGACCCCTGCTATTTTTAAAACTACCCAAAAATAGATTATTCCAGAACAAGGCTTTTCAGGCATCGTAGATTTAACTTTTCTATTACAACTCAGTGCAACAAGACATACCAGGTATGAGAGACAGAGGGAAAACGTAAATACAATAGAGGTAACCACATGAAAATCCTGTAAAAGACAAAATCCTTAGAATAAAATTATTTTTTTAAAAAAGGACGAAAATGAAAAAGGAGTTACTTTATTCACTGACCTTTCTCACCTAATTTTCATAGCTCCAACTTCAAATATGATCTTTAATTTAAAAATCCAAGAAAAGACAGTAACTCTGGTCCCAAGCACAACCCCACCCCAACAGGATTGTCTCCACTTTTCTGATTCTCTTTTCTCCTCTTTGAGCAAACACCACTTGCAGCTTTCACCTTCCAGAAGACGAAAAGGTCCAGTGTTTGAAATACCTTTCAACCCTGGTCGGGAAGAGCCATGATGCCCTCTCCCCCAACCCATTTAAAGAAAGTACGCAGTGCATCAGAAAGGACTATCCAGAAATTAAGAAGGACAAGTGACTCTTAAATGGTGACATTTATCAAATGTATTAAGTGGAAATCAAAGACGACAGCGAATTTAAAAAGGGGTTAACAAATCCACTTTGAAAATGGATAATTAGTGCATAATACAACCAAAAAAGGAGCTACAAAAATAAAAAGGTAGGATTTTCTAAGTAGTCAGAAAACCAATTTAAAATCTCTACCATTAATGGAGCTTCCTGAAGCAGCACAGCTGGTCTTGGGGTGGATGCACCTTTGATGACCTCCAGAACCTCACCACTCCAGTTCACAGCAGAACAGAAAAGCAGGAGCCCAGTGCAGCTGCCATCCCACACAGGAGGAGGTGGTACAAATCCCTGGCCTCTAGCCACATTCCCCTCCAGTCTTCCAGTGCTGCACCGTGGGTAGGGGGCGGCTGCCAAGCTTGCTAGGCGGAGCCTGCGCCAACCTATCTCCCTCCTCCTCCCTTTATAGCGCTACAACGGGAAAGGAACAACTGCTTTGTAAGCCAGGAGAAGGGGAGGGCTGCCATCCCTTGCAGGCAAAGGCTGAATAAGCATAAACTCCCACTCCTTTTTCCCCCCTCCCCCATCTCGCCCTGTTGCAGGTGGAGGTGGCTGTTACCTCTGCTATGTCTACGCAACCTGCATCCTTCCCCAAGCAGCACATTGGGGAAGGGGCAGCCACCCACCTTGGCCTGCCTCCTCTCCTCACTACTGAACCCTGGAGGGGTATCAGCATAGCAGAAACTGAGCGTGCGCGCGCGCGCGCGCGCGCACACACACACACACACACACACACACACACGCCGCCCCCTCCCCACTGGCAGCTCTCCAGGGAGGTGGCGGCCACACCCACCCTGCTGTGCATGCGCAGGCCCGAACCGCTGCAGCGTCGGCCATCTTGAAGGAACAGCACAATGGCGGTGACGCAACGCACACCCCAGGCTATTTCAACACAGCCTTCCAAGGTATGCTTGCTTAGAGAAAAACAGTGGCAAAAAAAAAGAGCACCCCTCCGGCATCACATGCCGTATCAGTCAGAAGATGTTTAAGTGCAAGTTCTGCACATTCCTCTTATGCTATAGCCTCAAAAACGGGGGTTCCTGAAGGAGTACACAACGCGGGGACTCCACGCATTTCTGCAGCCCCTGCAGCACTGTCGGCATTGCGCAGTTTTAATAAAAAAGCACCATCACCACGCTGGGCAAACCAGATGACCAATGCAAGTCACAGGAAAACTAAAGGCTGCGGACTGTGCTGCTGCCTCTCCTTGTGACGCCCCCTTCCCGCCACAGCGATCATTCAGCATCTTTCAGTCACTCCAGACAGCAACAGTCCCCCCCGCCGCCATGCCCACTGCCGCCATGCCCACCGCTGCCAAAGCCCACCGCCGCCATGCCCAACACCGCTGCCTTCCCCTGACCTCCCAGCCACTTCCTACGGACCCTCTCCGTGCCGCGATCACCAACACCATCCCCACCACGGTTGCGGCAACTCATGCCCCTGGTCCACTGACATAGCCTCCTCTGCGACAAATTGCACCCGCAGTCTCCCCACATACCCTGCTCCACCGTGCAATAGTCACTTCAGTACACCTACCCCCACCCAACACCCCATAAGTACTGGTCACTCCGCGTACCTTCGCCCTGCCACGATCACACCAATATACCTACCATTGCCTAAAGCCCCCAATGCACCGGTCCGCCCACGTCCCCTCACTCCACAGAACTGCGATCACCCCGATGGACCCACCTCCACCCACGTCTCCAACCCACTGCGGTTACCCTGCATGCTCCCCATCACCACTGCCCTTCCCACCGCGGACACCCCCAACAGGACCTGACGACCTGTCGCAACACCACAGTTGGGGGTGCATGGGGGGATGCGTCCCAAAGCAAGCAGACAGGACACCGTCGGGCGGGATGGCACAACAGCAAGCATCTGAACGTTCCGGCTCTGGTTCTCCAGAACAAAGGACTTTAGGGTCCAAATTCCCAGTTTACACAGTATTCCAAGCCCTGAGACCTTGGAGTATCGTATCTGATGAATAAAAGTGGCCGCTCCCCAGGCTGTCTCTTGAGAGAAGCCACGGGCGCAGCTGACCTTGCTCGCTCCATCGCGTCACTGACCGCTCCTCAAACCAAAGCGTCAGACATCTCCGGCGGCCGCTCCACTCTGCGCAAGACTCGCTGCCGCAGCTGCAGGCTGCGCGCACCAGCCCGCCTGCGCATGCGCACCAGCCCACCCCTGCGGCTGCGCAGGCGTGTTCGTCTGCCGCAGTGCAGGCGTCCCAGCACCCTCCCGGACTGGAATGACCTGGTGGGAGGGGCTACAGCGCCCCTAAGGCTCCAACCTCACTGCTGCCTTGAGAAGGGCTTCTGGAAACCGTGAGCAACCTGGAATCAATGGACAGGTCTACCTATTTTTTAAAATGTGTAAAATACTAAAGAAATAATTCTTGGTTCTACAAGAAATTTTTGCACACACCACTGGCCAAACAGTCCTAATTTACACTCACCCTCAGGTCTTCCCATGTGCGGTACAGAAAAGCTGTTTTGGAAAAGTTAAATGCGCCGTAACCACAATCAATGCAAATATACCAGACTTGAAATCCTTTCGGAAGAAAAGATCCCTGACTCGAGAAACATGCTACATTGTTCAAATTTGGTGGGATCTTTCTTCCCTTTTTCCACTTTTTACATTTTGAAGGGGTAAACTGAATATGATCAATGCCGAAATCGCGATATAATTAAACTCTCCTATACAAAATGGATAGATCCTTCAGTTCAAAAACTGGCTATTCACTTTTTGTAAAACAAAAATATGAACTTAGACCCCCACCTAAGATCTAATTAGGAGAGCCCTTCTTTGCCTATTAGATTTGGATACATTTAAATTTTTACCAATAATCAGTGATAGCTAGAGTGCGGGAAAACAGGCACTTTCATGCAATACTAACGGACAGGCAAACATGATTTTTGATCTAATGATATTCTATCTGCAGAAATAACAGAAGCACTGGTAACTGCAAAATTTAGACGTTGTTGTAGCTTAGGAAAAAAGACACTGCTGGGAACAGGAAGGAAATAATCCCTAAGCTACATCTGCATAGCTTTTACACGCTTTTGCCCTTTCTCAATTGCCCATTATCTAACAAGGGAGGTGGTGGGAGTGGAGGTGGACCAAATGGTTAAATCCCCTCCCAAGCCCTCTAAGCTACTCCTCAGTTCCCAATGATGCTACATTAAAACAAGTGTGCAGAGGCTTATTAATGCTGACTTTTATCATAATAAAATCCCAGAAATTGTGTACTGTTCCTCACAGAGAACATATAGGCTAAATAAATTAAGGTATATATAAACAATAACATGCAATAGGGCTGATGGAAACAATGATCTGTTCGGCTGAACAATATAAAACTGTCACAATATTCAATTTTTTGACCTATAAAAACATTGCAATTTCTAATAGCTCACTGATACATATTCACATAAAATAACACAGGAAGTTCACTCTGATCATGAGAGTGAATCAACAAATAAAATATAGGGCAGGCACAGTGGCTCATGCCAGTAATCCCAGCACTTTGAGAGGCTGACGCAGGCAGATCATGAGGTCAGGAGATCGAGACCATTCTGGCCGACATGGTGAAACCCCATCTCTACTAAAAATACAAAAATTAGCTGGGCGTGGTGGTGTGCACCTGTGGTCCCCAGCTACTTGGAGGCTGAGGCAGGAATCGCTTGAACCCAGGAGGCGGAGGTTGCAGTGAGCCGAGATCGTGCCACTGCACTCCAGCCTGGTGACAGAGCGAGATTCTGTCTCAAAAAAAAAATAATAATAATAAGTAAAATGTAAAATTAACAATTTGAAGGTATTTTGTATGTTTATTCATACACTGAAAAAATTATGAAAGTATACACACCATTATAGTTTAGTGATGAAAACCATGCCTTTGGACTCAGGCTCTTTTGATTTAAATTCCAGTTTTTACTCTTGACAAAAATGTTACTTTGAGCAAATTACTTAACCTTCTGTGCATTAAATTCCTAATCTGTGACATGAGCAGATTACTTTATACAATGTATTTACTTCATACAATGGCTTAACAATTAAATGAGCTAAAATGCTATTTAGAACAGGTCCAAGTACAGACTAAAAGCAGCATAAAAATGTTGGCTCTTAGAACTTCACCAAATGTTACAGCACTACTTCCTCCAGGAGTAGGAATTGGGTATTCATTTTTTATCCTTGTTGTTTTAACTAATGTCCGTATCTTACTGTATTTACTCATTTTTTCCCTGATACAATTTTCGATTGTAGACACCAAACTTACATGCCACCAACATTATAATCATGTTTCTTTAGGCTTCTCTTGGCTGTCACAATTTGAGATTGCTTTGTATTTTTCATTTTTACAGTACTTGGTACTTTTTGCAATGATTATGAATTACCTTTACAATTAAAATATATTATTAAAATGGGGTAAAATTGTATTCAATTCTCAACTAGCACTTGATGATCTAGTTTCTTGGACCTGTCTTCCATTGTTTCTGGTGTGTTCTCTTTTCAAACTCTGACTGCCTTTCCTCATAATCTCCTTTCTTCTAATGCGTTAGGAAATTCGCTTTGGAGTCTCAGAAGTCATAATAGGTGTCCTGGGTTTTACAGAAAATCCAAAGAGAACTGCCACTAGGCTCACTCATCTCCTTAGAGGATATTTCACATTAGTTAATAATAGGCCTGATTCAGCATCTCCTACAACTAGTGAGTGAAGACACAGAGAAGAAGACATTGTCACTAAACTCCACTATGATATGCTAGTAGACCCTGATGGGTCTCCCAACAATTCAATTTTCCCAAAATACACACTCATCCCCAAGCCTAACACTTAAGGTTATGTGTTTAAAGGACACTAAACCTGCAGTAAAACTATTCTGTATAGAATAGACAAAGGAGACTACAAAAACTAATCAGAACCCTTGCACCATGCCAAGTACAAAAATTAAAATAGATCAATAAAATATAAGTCAATTGTTATAGAAGAAAACATATATACATGTTATACATGCATACATGTGCACACATATACATATATGACACCTAAAACAAAAGCAACCGGAAATAATAAACTGAACTTCATCACAGTTACATAAAAATTTTTGCTTCAGCTTCTTTCTCTGCTGCGAGCTTCCAAAATGACAAAGAAAAGAAGGAACAACGGTCGTGCCAAAAAGGGCCACGGCCATGTTCAGCCTATTCACTGCACGAACTGTGCCCGATGCGTGCCCAAGGACAAGGCCATTAAGAAATTCGTCATTCGAAACATAGTGGAGGTCACAGCAGTCAGGGATATTTCTGAAGCGAGCGTCTTTGATGCCTGTGTACTTCCCAAGATCTATGTGAAGCTACATTACTGTGTGAGTTGCGCAGTTCACAGCAAAGTAGTCAGGAATCGATCTTGTGAAGCCCACAAGGACCGAACACACCCACCCCGATTTAGACCTGTGGGTGCTGCCCCACGATCCCCACCAAAACTCATGTAAGGAGCTGAGTAAAAGATTGAAGACAACTATTCTCTGGAGAAAAATAAAATGGAAATTGTACTTGAAAAAAAAATTTTTTTGCTTCAAGGGATGTTAAGAAAGTGAAAAGACAGCCAAGAGAAAGGGAGAAAATCATGAAGCTAATAGGATTGTGGTATTCAGAATGTATAAAGGAGTGTTACTATTGGGCTGGGCGCGGTGGCTCATAACTGTAATCTCAGCACTTTGGGAGGCCAAGGCAGGTGGATCACTTGAGGCCAGCAGTTTGAGACTAGCCTGGTGAAACCTCGTCTTTATTAAAAATATAAAAATTAGCTGGATATAGTGGCACATGTCTGTAGTCCCAGCTACTTGGGAGGCTGAGGCAGGAAAAACTCTTGAACCCAGGAGGCGGAGACTGCAGTGAGCTAAGATCAGGCCACTGCACTCTAGCTTGGGTGATAGAATGAGACTCTGTCTCAAAAAAAAAAAAAAAAAAAAAAAAAAAAAAAAAAAAAAAAAAAAAAAAAAAAGTGTTACTATTCAACAATAAAAGGAAAAAAAAATTTTTTTAATGGGCAAAGGATTAAAATAGTTCTCAAATACCAATGGCCAATAAGCACATGAAAAGATACTCACAATCGCAAATCATTAGAGAAATACCAATGAAAACCACAATGAGATCCCACTTGGGCTATAATTAAAAAGACAATGACAAGTGTTGTGGAGAGGGCGGAGAAATTGGAACTCTCTAATACTGCTGATTGGAATGTAAAACAGCACAGCCACAGTGAAAGAGTTTGGCAATGCTTACAATGTTAACCCTGAAGTTACCAAATGACCTACAATTCTACTCCTAAGTAGATCCAAAAGAAATAAAAACCCTGAGTGCGGTGGTTCACACCTGTAATCCCAGCACTTTGAAAGACAGGGCAGGTGGATCACCTGAGGTCAGGAGTTCGTGTCCAGCCTGACCAACACGGTGAAACCCCATCTCTATTAAAAAATACAACATTTAAGGCCGGGCGCGGTGGCTCAAGCCTGTAATCCCAGCACTTTGGGAGGCCGAGGCGGGTGGATCACGAGGTCAAGAGATCGAGACCATCCTGGTCAACAAGGTGAAACCTCGTCTCTACTAAAAATACAAAAATTGGCTGGGCATGATGGTGCGTGCCTGTAGTCCCAGCTACTCAGGAGGCTGAGGCAGGAGAATTGCTTGAACCCAGGAGGCGGAGGTTGCGGTGAGCCGAGATCGTGCCATTGCAC